TAATCTTATTGACACACGAACGCTGTAAAGGGCGCTCTTCCTGAACGCTCCTCAGGTATCACGCTTACGACGTGCGTTTTTCGAGTTCCTTCTCCTCTGCAGTCTCGAAGGAACCGAACTTCGTGCATGCCATACCTATCATCCGCTCTCCTCCTTCCTTTCCCGGTCGATCTTTCTCTTTCTTCGCGCATGGTCTCTGTTTCTCGACGTATCTCACGATCGTCGAGTCATCGTGTAATGACGTGCCGGCTGTCAGACTGCGAGGCGAGGCAGCACAATTCGAGCCACGAAACGATCGGTGCGCGGCATCGTCGAGAAGACAAGGGATGGAAACGCGGTCGTAGAGGAGGTGGAAAGGGGATCGAGAAAAAAGATTAGGAAGTTGAGAACGAAAAGCAAAGGAGTTAAGGAAAGCGCGAAATGTAATTTTGGAAATATTATGTCTCCACTGTTGTATCTTTGTTTGCTTCTACGAAACGTTGATTAAACGTCGATCGTATTTTTTCCATTTCTTCCTCTTTTCATTTCTGGCTAGTTTCTGTCAAAATATTTCTCCTTCAGTCGCAAAGTGATACGTACTTATTACGTTTTTTTTCTGTAGTCTTCGATTATCCATTCGAACGATAGTATTTATATTAAAATTAAAAACCACTCGTTTTATCGTTTTCTCTTACGGATTCTTCTTTCAGAAAATTTCTCAATTTACGCGTATGTCTATATTGCTGTTAACGAACTCGGAAAACTGTATTTCACGAACATGTTTGCGAACGATATGCAAACAGATAGACCATATCGAAGTCTACTGGACTCGTTAATCTATCCCATGCGACTTTGAGCTCCGCGAAGAGTTTCAATCGCGACTTTGTAGGATCTAGCGTGCGACTGATAATATTAGACGAAAGCAGGATTACGTATCAGGTGAACAGGTTTGGTGCGATAACGTGGCATAATTAACCGCGGCTGGGAAGGAGGACGAAAACACGTGAAACGGAGCGGATCTAATTTCGTCGAGGATTCTGACACCCAGACGGACATGAACGTGAGGTGAACGTTATAGGCGATATCCGTAATGGCGATGACGCGCGGACAATGGTGCGTGGACATAAATACCACGATCAGATCTCCGGACACGCCTCCGATTAAATTAGGAACGCTCCGAGTGGCAAAAAACGATTTAAGTGTTTAGACGCTCGAGTGGATCGTTCTCGGTTTAAGGACGCTTCAGTGTTACTGACGGTGCTGCGAGGCTGTCGAAATCATCATCGAACATTTTCGAAGAAAGTATTCCACTTACATTGATCGTTCTCGAGTCTGATCGCTGGCTGTTTGCTCCTGTGAGAGCATCCAAAATCGAGCCTCGGTAACTGGAATCACAGAAGGGAAACGACCAGAAGAAGAAAAGAAGAGGATTCATTTTGTTACAGCAAATTGTCGACAGTATTATCGGCAGATTGAATATTAGTCAGTGGTCAGTAGTTATATTGGTTAATTCCATGAATTAAAAAGCAGAGGAAGATAATGGTACTGTTTTTTAAATTTATCTTTGTTTCATTTGATAAGTGATTTTCATTTGATAAGTGTCTCAATACCCATGAACGAGGATGTAAATGAATTATATTGGATGATGCGTGATCACTTGAAGATGTGTCGAAATCTCGACCGTGTGCTTGTAGATACGCGCGTGATCTAATAACGAGATTATCTGAACATCGATAATGGAAGCAAGAAGTCAAAGCGAGTACTCGAAGCTTAAGAAAAGGCAGTGTGAAATAATCAGGCCTACTCGGCGCGTTTCTGCACTAAACAAGCTAGAAAACGAATAGGACCACGACGCGGTTACGTCGCGAGGCAAAGAACGGAGTGGAGGAGTCAGGATAATTCGTGTGATCAAAGCGACCGACTCGTTGGCATCGTCTCACCTTTAATAAAGCTATCTGGCATCTCTAATATCTCTTCTCTGGTTGCCCCTCCAGATACAACGAGAAGGCGCGGCGAAGAACGAAGGTGAACGATAACGACTACGAGGAAGACGAGGAACGCGAGATAGGATGTAGATGGAGGACGACTAAGAACAGATGGAGAGGAACGGGAAGAAGGACATCGACGTAGAAGGCTACGAGGAACTCGGAATAAGAGGGAAGAAAAGGAAAGAGATCTCGAGGTTCTTTGCTCTAGACACCTTTCCACAACGAGGCCTTGTTCATCTGGAGAAAAGACACGTCAGCCGTGTACGCACCTCGTCTCTTTGGGACCATCGATACGACGACGTGGATCCCTTCTTTTCGTTCTCATGGTTACGTCTTTCTCGCTTCATTTCCTGAGTCTTACCTTATTATAGTTACCATTCGCAGCCGATGGTTATCGACGACCGCCGTCAATTAAGCAATTATCGACACCTTCGACTCGGTGCCAGTGAGGAACCAGCCTGATCACCGCGTCTGCTGGCTCATGGCCTCGAATATCAATGGTACGATCGATACACTGCGATCGGATCTCGTTGTTTGCTCTGTTTCGTATTCACGAAATTTTCATACGATACTAACTGTGTCTACTTTTGGATAGGTTACTCGTAATTCTTGTTTTTGGCTATTGTCAAATAAAGAATTAAAGGTAAGGATTCTTGGTTTAAGAACGTCCCGGATGTCGATCGTTGAACCGATCGTAGCAAGCATCGATGTTCGTTCGTGTTAGTTCTGTTTTTCGTACACGTGGACTTTTGTTATAATTTTAGCGATGTCGATTTCAGAGTTGCTTCTCGATAACTCTTATCCTCGGCTACTGCCAATTAAGCAATTAACGTAGGGCTTCGTAGACCCTTGGAAAGTCTTCGGAGATAGTCTGCCGTAGACTCAAAGATACGGAAACGTTTCTATAGACTTAATTGACCGTGGCGAAGGAGCATCGTGCGAGCCATTAGCGAACTTATCGAAGTCCACCGGGGTAGTCCATCAACAAACTCGTTAAGTTGATTAACCTCCGATGCACCCCGTGACTTCTTGCACAGCTAATAAATGGGGGATGTGTAGATAAAACCGTGAAATATGGAGAGTTATTAATTTCACGGTTAACGATTGTCTGCGCCGGGTTAAAATAGATTACGCTGTGTGTTCGAAGAGTAGGCCGGTTGTTCTTCTTATTTCCTTCGAGATTTGGTTTAACAAGTATAATCGTCGATATAGATTCAAATCTACGGTTTTCATACGATAGAAGATCATTTACTTCGAACTATTTTATAGATACTAATAGTAAAAAATAAGTTACACTTACCAAGAATTTAACGCATTCTATTTTTATATTACAATTTTTCTTACAAACATCCATCTCCAAATGTCCCATTAATCGGTGTTTCGATAATCGATCCAGTCTGTTAATCGATTTTAATAATCAAAATCTCTCTGTTGTTCGCGCTTAAAGTATTTACAATCGAAATCGAACGCGTACGCGAAATTGGGAGAAATTTCGTGCAAATAGAGTCATAGATTTCGCTGTCAGATATGGCGAATCGAACGACTATTAATAAACCAGTAGAAAGCAGCGAAACGAAGAAGCTCGAGAAATAAACGATTGGCGTACGGTTAATTGGTGCGACAGAATTTCCTTAAATCAAAAACTGTCATCGGTACGTATACACGTTTATATCAGATATCGATCTACCGTTATTTACGATGCTAACCGGATCGTGTCAACGTAACAGCTTCCAGGATACCGGTGTCCTGATCACGTTCCGCATGTCCCCCGCCGTGTTGTCCTTACAGGACGCGTTTACGCCGGCCGTACACGCATATATGCGTGTAGCAATTTACTGGCCGAAGAGGAGGCGTCGGGCTACATAAATCAGAAAGACAACGCGTCAGCTTATTAACCACCGACGATTTATTTCCGCCTGTTGGTACATGGACTTTCCACGCACTCATCCGCTTCGTTGCTGCACCGAAATGTTACGACAATATTGAAAAATTCCTAAGGAACAAGCGGCAGAGTAGTTGGTATCGGAATTCTTTCAAAATTACTTGGAAAAAATTTCGATGAAATAAGATTCCTTCTCTAAATTGAAAATACGTGATATTTTGTTTTGTTTCGCGATAAATATTTCGAGAAACGTTATGGAATTCCCTATTGTCAGCAGACAGCTTCCTTTCTGGTTTCCTCCTTATCTGCTCGAAACGACCAAACGGATGCGCGTGCATGTAAACGAATTCCAGACATAAATTTACCGACTTCCGCTCTCCATTCAGCTGCAAAGAACGCCGAGACATCGGTACATTCGACGATACTTCCGGCAATTCTTGGAAGCTGCCCCCCTTCTATGATAATGCTACCAATGTCAGGTGAAAAATAACATTTGCTCCGAGCGCTCCATGCGTTTCTGCGTCTGTTTGACATCAATTTTATATCCAATTTATAGCCTGTATCGTGATATTTTCCCTTTGCCTCCTTGTTATTGCATTATTGCACAGTTTAATGTACGATTGTTGGACAAAAAAAAAAAAAAGAAAAAAATATAAAAAGAGGAAAAGAAAAGGAAAAAGGGATAAAAGTAAAAAAAATATAAAACGAACGAGGCACAATCGGAACAGAATGCACCGTATCAGGAATGCCAGGAAATATGGCGAAGTTAATCGTGGCGGGGAGGGATCTACTGCAATTAATCGAGGGAGGAGCACGTCGGATTTTAAGGACTCCTCCTGGTGCGTGAGGACCCACCGCGGGTTCCGTCTTCCGTTATTTATGTTGCTGGATCCAAGGAGCTCGGGGGGTCCAGGAATGTCCACCGTTCTTCCAAAATGCGATTCGACCGTGACTATTAATTATTTCTGACCCGCTCACGCCTAAGACAGTTCCGACACTGAGCTAGACATCTTCGAATTACTAACTTACCTTGGAGAGAATATTTTCTCCTCTTCGAAAGACCTTCCTCCGGTTAAAGTCTTCAAAATCTTGGGAATTACAGCAAATGGTCGAGGCCAAAGGGATCTCGGGGAGAATAAATCAAGACCAAGCGTGTTTCGCCGATACTTTATTCACCCAACCGTCTCAATCTACGCAAAATCGCGATTTTTCCTCCGCCGCGTAGTCGTCTCTGTTTCACGAACGAGCGTCACGCTGCGCAAGAGACGCGGGCGTATATCTACGATCGCGTATATTCCAGTGGCATACGCGCACGCTTGGAATAATTAACGAGAAAACGTCAGAAAGGGGAAGAAGCCAGCAGGTAGAACAGAAATAAACCGTCAGAGGCACGTTCTCTCCGATTTTACCTGTTTCTTCTCCAATTTTCAATTTATTTTAACGCCATCCTCTCGAAAGATCGCAGTTGCTACTAGTTTTTTTCCTAACCGCGTCGTGGCCCTCGAATTTTTACGTTCTGACCTCACTCTTATTTTAACGAACAGAGAGATTCTCGATTTCTTTTTAAGAAACGCTTTATCACGCGTGCCGATAACAATTCTTTCACGCTTATAAAATTTATTATGAACGAAAGAACGAGTCAGCCTTTTAAATAATCCAAAGAACGTCATAGAAAGATGACCGAGAACAAATTTCTCGGTCTGTTCCTTTTTTAAGTGTCTCTGTTTGGAATTGGCTTGGCGTCGCGTATCGAGAGAGTCGTTATTTCGACGAAATAGTCGGCGAGATTCGCGAATGACGAGGGAAAACGGGAAAGACAATGCGAGAGGAAACGCGAACGAACGACAAAACAGCGTGGTAACATCACGATTTATCCTCGCACATGGTTGATTTATAACGATGCGTATAGTCACTACGGCACGACGTCTCGGGCCTCTCATTTGTACGTACTTTCTCTCATTTGCGGCCGCGGAACCCACCGAAAAGAAAAAGAAAAAAAAAAGCCAGTGGAAGAGAGAAAGAGAAACGGACGAGTCGTGAGTGGCGTATGAATTATTCAACCGGCAGCTCTCGTTTGCCGCGCCGTTGATAATGATAATCGTGGATTCCCCGGTAATGATAACTGTTCGTCGATCTCGTTCGTTGGACGGATCACAATAATAGCGACACTAATCACACGTTGATGGTCAAACACCGTTTGATTAATTCGTAAGACGTCCTTGGCCATCCGTATCAACTGCAACGTTGAAGAACGAATACACCGGATGTATCCTTGGCTTCATTTTTATTTCTCTGAATAGTAGGAATCCCAGGAACAGATGTTTGGATGTTGATCCCCGTACCTCTTCCACATGTATCGGTACCTGGAACAGACAATCACGATCTACGGTTGCAAACTTCAACTACTCTGTATCCTAATATTAGCTTGATTCTATATTCTTTTTATTAGTTCGATGTATTTTAGAGAAGTTTACGTATAACCGATGTTATTAATATTTATTAAATACACAAAGGGGTTGAAATATTTATATATTTCAACATTTAATCGGAAAATCGAACGCGACGAGAAGTTTCGACGTGGGATCGAGACAACATGTTTGAACTCTAAAATTGCTTTCCTATGAGAAGCGAGGAACGTGACTTATCGCGTCCTTCGCCTGCGATCTTCGCATAGCGAAATATCTGGTCTGCGAAGGGATGACAAAGTTTTAGTCAAAGTCTCGACGAAAATGGAAAAAAAGTGGCTGGAATCAAAGCGGAAGAGGGGTGCAGGTAGATATGTAGAAAGTGATCTGCACCGCGACCACGTTGCGCGGAGGAGCACGTCGCTGTAGGTAAAACGTACCTACGGCATCCTGCCCTCTCCCCCTTCCTTTTTCCTGCCCCTCCCGTGGATCTGACCCACCGACGGTGGCAGTAGCGGCGTGCATAACAGGGTGGACGTTTAACATATGACCGGCTACCAGTGTTATTAATGCGCCGGTAGCGTCGTGCTCGGTTTCTTCCGAGCCCACGTACGGTGCCTACGATCCCGTAGCCGGGTTGGGGCCACCCGCGGATCCTCCCTGCTCCACCAGGCCCC